TTGAGCCATTTTCCACTATATAATTTACCATTTTCAGTCAATTTTACGTAGAAAATTTTGGTATTAATATGTTTTCTCCAAAACATCTAATTGGTTAGATTTTTTTAATTTTCTAAATAAAACCTTTTATTTTTGTCATTTTGAGTTTCTTTATTTTTTTCTTAAATGTTTTCCAGTAGTTCAAACATCATAAGATTACAAACATCTTTACAATCCTATTATTGTTAAGAATTTGAACTACCGAACATTTAAGAAAAAATGAAGAAATTCAATATGACAAAAATAAAAGGTTTTATTCAAAAAAAAAAAACAAATCTAAGTAATTAAATATTTTGAAAAAGAAAAATAAAAATATATAAAAATTTCCTAAGTAAAATTTATCGAAAATGTTAAAAATATAGTGAAAATGGCTCAAACAAACTCTTATATTTACAGGCTTACCAGGGATATTTTCATTATATTTTGGAAAAAATATAGCATCCACAAGTTTTTGTATTTATGTGTAGTACAAATGGATATATGCAAAGTCCATAATAGAGAGGTATTTTTGTAATTAACCGTTTATAATATTAAATATATAATTCAACTGTATCCCTCTTTTTATGGAAGTATATATGTTTTAGCATTCTAGAAATGTAGAGAGTATAAGAGACTTTAAAAAGTTTTAAAATTATTATGAATGTAAAATTGAATATGGATATATGGTTGTCCTCGTTATAATATCATTCAAATACACAAAGCATACATTGGTGTGTAGATCAACGATAAAAAATCATCTAGTATAATTTTCACCGAGGTGTAGCATAAAAATAACCGTATAATACCATAGAAATTTAGTGATTTCAATTTTGCTACCACCCTATCGCAATTGATGGCCTAATTACCAGTTTTATATTGAACTCGGCACGCATAATTACAATATATGTGAACACAAGAGTTTATTGCATTATGTCGCTAAAAAAAATTCCATTTTATTTGTCGTTTTGAGCTGATGCGTATTGAGAAAACTAATAAATATGCGTGAATTCTGAAATATCATAATAAAATAACTAAAAAATAACTTTCATGAATTACTTCACCTAATTTATTAAGAGTATATAGTAAGGACAAATTGAAAAAAAAAAAAAATTCATTAAAAATCCAAAATGACAACTATTTTGAAATAAAAAAACTCTAAAAATTAATAAAATAAGACGGAGGGAGTATATTACAAAAAAAATAAAATTGGAAAATAACACCTAACCCGACCCGGAAAATAAAACAATACATACATGGTTTAATAAGTTAAAGAATAACCAATTCAACATGTTGAGTTTGAACTCATAGAATAACCAATTCAACATGTTGAGGTACTTGTGGTGCGAGCTTTTGTTTAGCGTTCTTCCTAGTTGTTTCTTCCACTAATTTGTCGCCAGACCATACAAAGTAGGGATCGACTGTTATTTTCTCGAGCGCGCCACAATTCTCCAAAATGTATTTAATTAATTCAGCATCATTGGTGGCTCCATAATAGCCACAAAACTTGAAGATTTTAAGGTGATGGTGTGGAGACCTTATTATAGCATCTTTCACTTGTCTATCTTCCCTCGGAAGTTTAAACCATCTAAACTGCACATAGCGAAGAATGAAAATATGAAACATGTAAAATAGTACAAAGGGCTAAAATAGTAAAAGGGGCAGGCATACCTGTAATACAAATTCATCCAAGTAAGGCGATAGGCTTATAAAAGTAGCCAGTCTAGAAAGACATTCATGACCACTTCCATCATATTCGATGACCAACTTCTTCAGTTTAGGCATTTTAGGAAGCTCGTTTATTTCTCCGCTGTTATCATCACCAGGAAGGGTGTTGTACAGCCCCAAGCAAAGAGTCTGCAATTGAGAAATGCAGCAAGACAGTACGACATCAAATATCCGTTTTATTGAAACACAGTCACTGCGACAAATGACGGATACATTAACTAGCATCGGAACATTCTCAAGTAAAAGTCCCTTGAAATTCAACAAAACAATAAGTGTAGTAAGCCTTGGCGCAGAAACTTTAAGTGATTTCAAAAGCGGGCAACCGGCTATCTCCAAGTGTTTTAACTTGAGGTGCGAGCCACAAACTTCAAGCTTTGATATTTCTCTCGATCCATGGACAATCAATTGTTCGAGTAGCGGACAGTTATGCAAGATCAAGTCAATAGCTCCATCATTCAATATAACGCTTTTAAAAACCAATGCTTTGAGGGACGACTTAAAGAGCATACGACGAGGATCATCGTGGATGCAACCGCTTTTTAGGGTAAGTAACTTTTCGGTGAAACAATTATATTTGGTCGGACAACTATAATTTTTAATGTCCAACTCCAACCTCTCAACTTGTCTGGAAAATGAAAATTGAAGCCAACGATCGATTGTCTTTCTGGATGATCTATCTAAATGAAAACGGATTCTGAATTCTTTTAAGGTTCGAGATTCGTGCGATTGAATAACGGAGTTGACCCATTTCACATACTTGCGTTTCTCACTTTCGAGTAACTCGTCCTCGTAATAAAACCTGTCCAATAAACTTTGATCAGTGTCGAAATCGAGAGAGGGTGTGTGCAGTGGCGGATGAAAGATGGGGCGGGGGGGGCAGCCGCCCCTCAAAAAAAAAATCCTACTAATTTTTTAATGCTTTTTTCTTTTTTTAAGAAGTAGAGTCTTGGCCCCACCAGACTTTTTGTATTTCTTTTGAAAATTTGCTCACCGCCAAATGTAATACGGTGTTATAGAAAAAAAGATTTGTTTTTTCCTCTTTCTCTTTTTCAGAGAATTAAATATAATAAAAAATTATAAAAGTCAATATATTAGACAAAAATTATTTTCTTCTTTACAAGAGTACAAATATAGAATTCTCTCTCGTCAACAAACAGAGAGTTCTAAATATCCTCTTCTCACTCTCAAAGTCTCCATTCTCTCTCTTTCTCAAGGGAAACAAAAAACATTCAAAGTTCAAATTCATCCTCTTTTTATCAAGTAATATTAATTTTCATCTTCTCTCTTATGTATTTTTCTTTTACTCTTTTTGAGATGTATGTTAATGTTAGGGTTTTAAATATATATTTTGTTTTATAAAAAGTATGTGATTACTTATTATGTTTTATGATACATGTTTAAGGGTTCTTTGACATTTACATTTGATGGGTTTATTGGAATTTATTTTAGGGTTGTTTGATATTTGAATTTATCAATTTCATGACTATCACATGTTTGAAATCTTATGTTCGGGCTTTAGGGGTTATTTTGATTTTTATATTCTAAATGGTAAAATATTTTGATTCTTTGAATTGTAGGTTCTATTGACTATTGTTCCGATGTCAAAGCCTCCACCCAAGCGAACAAAACATAATACGATCGATTCATATTTTAAACGTGATCTTAAAGAATCGTCATCATCTAATGTTGGTAGTTCTTCTCTCGTTGATGAACAAGAACTTGTTGGGCCTTCTATTATCGATATTGGAGTTATACATGATCAAGAGTTTACAAGCAATTCTTTGGAACGTGATCCGGGGAAGCGACCTCAGATTTGGACATATCCTGTTAATCAACAAGATGAAATTCGGCGCGCTTATATCAAATTGGGGCCGTATCAGTTTTTCTTATCGAAGTACCCTTATTCAAGCAATGAGAAGAATACTCGTCGACGATTCCAATATTCATGGTTTTCTAAATTCTCTTCTTGGTTGGAGTATTCACCTACCAAAGATGCTGCTTATTGTTTGCCGTGCTATCTTTTTGCTAGTAAGCAAGTAACACGTTTTGGTGCAAATGCATTCACGGTGGAAGGATTTAGCAATTGGAAGAAGGTAAATGATGGAGATACGTGTTCCTTTTTACGTCATGTCGGAAATCATACATCCTCCCATTTTATCTCTATGAAATCATGTGAGGATTTAATGAATCAATCTAGGCATATTGACAAGGTCATGCAAAAACAGTCATCGGAGCAGATATTGAATAATCGATTGAGGCTTAGAACATCAATTGATTGTGTTCGTTGGCTTGCATATCAATCTTGTTCTTTTCGAGGTCATGACGAAGGGCCAACATCAAAGAATCCGGGTAATTTTCGTGAGATGATGAAATTATTGGCAAGTTATAATGATAAAGTAGCTGCAACTGTTTTAGAAAAAGCTCCTCACAATGCAAAATACATATATCTCCAATAATCCAAAAGGAGATATTGCATGTTATTGCTTCTAAAGTGAGAAGGAAGATTCGAGAAGATATTGGTGATTCCAAATTTTGTATTCTTGTTGATGAAGCACGAGACGAGTCCAAAAGAGAACAAATGGCTCTTGTTTTAAGATTTGTAGACAAGATGGGTTTTCTCCAAGAACGTTTCTTTGATATCGCACTACAACAAAAAGTATATATTAGGACACTTTTTTTGGGATACTATTTATTAAATGTCTCATAAAATAAATGTTAGGACATTCCTTATAATGTATCCCGAAAATCATTTTTATAGGGACACTTAAAAAATAAAATAAAAAATTCTTAGAAAAGAAAAATAGAATACATTTTAAAACCGTACATTTTCACAACTTGAGTTCTTACCCTTGTCCCATTTCAGTCTTCTCTAACTTCACTTTTTATCGGTCATTCTCGACAAACTTCTCTTCAACGCCGTTCCATGACCTAATCTACTGAAGGTAAAATTTATCTCATCTCTCTCTCTCTCCCTCCCCGCCCTCCCCCTTCCATTTCAATTTTTTTAATTTTTTTTTATTCAGTTATTTGAAACCCTAATTCTAAATCAGAAACGAAGGGTGTGTGAAATAATTAACATAGGCATATCGATTTTTATACTTCTAATCGTTCTTAATGATTACGGAACTTTATTTTAGTGTATTTGCTGCTTGAAATTGTTTTTCCTCTTGAATTTCTTGTTGTTTGTAATGATAATATTTCAATTTTGCGTAGTCAAGGGTCTTAGTTGATGACTGAAAAGTTTTGGCTCTCTGCTGAATATGATCTATGTTTCTCTTATAACAGTTCAAAATCGAAGTCCTATTACTGTTCAGAAAGGGGACGGATTGAGAGAGATTTGTCTACTTGTGGCAGGGTAACTTCATTTGCAAATGATGACTGATATTTTACATTACATTTTAAGCTAATCAATGATGAATTACGATTGTTATAGGCATTGTTTTTTTTCATCATTCAAACAGGGCGACGGGCATATTTATCTCTCGTTTCATTTTGTTTGTCAAGGCTAATTCTACAACTCCATCCACCACCACCAGTAAGCAAACACCCAAATCAAATGGAATAGTTATTTTTTAGAAGTCCATTATAATAATCGAAGTTATTTTGTTTGCTGGTCATGACACCCAAGTATTTGTTTTTTATATATAGTTTTTACATCATAACATCAATTTTCCAGCTTTCCAACAAAGAGAAGATTTACTTGAAGTAGTCGAATGAGGGGACGAAACAGAAGGTGTTGATTTATCATATTGGGAAGACGATGAACTTTGGTAATTGCTCACTTTTTCTCCAAAAGTTCTTTTGGAGTAATTTTTTGCCTCTTTGCAGTTTATATTTTATCCGGTATATATACATATGTATATTGTGTTATTTTATGTAGTCTGAAAGTGCTGAAATTACTCAATTATAGTAGAAATTTAATTGAAAAATTCTGAAGTTTGTGATTTGGATGTTTCTGAAAGTAGTTGTTTATCATAGCTTTCAGACTTATTTTGTGATTTCACTAACAAAACTTTTATATTTAAAGGTTTTCTAAAGTGCAAGTGACTAAAAGGTTGAGCTGCCGAAGCTACTTGGGTTCCAACTTTTTGGCAAATGGATTATTTTCGTGTTTGTTGGTATTAACTTTCAGCTGCACTGGAAGCAATTAATATCTTCTCATCTATACACTTTACAAGGAGTGTTGACTGCTTTTCTTTCTTTTACATACTTATTTTTTCTACTATTTCAAAGAGCGATGCCTTTTCACTTCTGCAGATCTATGTTTGGTATTGGCATTATAGTACGAATGTGGTTAAGAAAGATAAAATTGAAGGCCATTTACAACAAGGAAAAGACTCTTGGAACGACGGCAAAATATGAAAGTAAGTACATCTGGTTTTAAGTGGTTACCTTTAGGAGATCTTTTGTCTTTTAACAGGTTATATTGTATTGTACTTCGCTCTATTTGTGATATATGTAGTATTGTAACAGGCTGATTTTGAGAGAGAGAGTATGGAGGAAAATCTAAACACGCACGCGGAAGAGCAAACCTGAAGGGAAGAGCAAGCCTTGAAAGGGAGAACACGACTTAGCAGTGTGCGAGTAGCTATCTAGAGGACTCGTATATAAGTTTTGGCAAGTTATCCACACAACTCTTGTATATGTTGTGGGTTTGCCACTGAATATTAGTTGAGATTTTGTTGCCATCTCATCAAAATAAATGGAATTGACTCTGAATTTTTATGAATTGATTTGAGAACACGAATTATGTTCTACTTTCAATATATATGTAATTTTTGGTAGATTTATTCTTTAATTATAAGGTGGTTGCAATGTTATTTTATTGTTGTTCAGTGCCCAAATATAATATCTCATAAAACATTTAATTTTATCACTAATTTTTTAATGACATTTATATGTGCCTTAATATAATTTTTTGAGACATATGTAAATGTCCCATATAAGTTTGAAGGCACAAATAAGTGTCCCCAAAGAATTGATTATTAACTACGTAAGTAGGCATTTGGGACACTTATTTGTATCTTGTAAGCAGGTATTAAGACATATATAAATGACCCGATAAGGTATGATATGGGGACATTTTAAGTGTCCCTAACTTAATGCGACACACATACATGCGACACATATATTAAGTGCCCCAAAAACTGCAAGTGTCCCGATACCTACCATATTAGGACACTTTTCCGTGTCCCAATAGGGACTTTTTGTTGTAGTGTCGTAAGCGTGGAAAATACTTGTTCATCGACTCTTAAAAAAGAGCTTTCTAATATTTTTTCTCATCATGCTTTAAACGTCGAAAACCTTAGAGGGCAACGTTATGATGGTGCAAGCAATATGCGTGGTGAATGGAATGGATTACAAGCATTATTTTTAAAAGATTGTCCATATCCATACTACGTGCATTGTTTTGCCCATCGGCTTCAGTTGGCATTAGTTGCGGCTTCAAGAGAGGTAATTCTTGTTCATCAGTTTTTCTCAAAGTTGGACTTGATTGTTAATATTGTGGGTGCTTCTTGTAAGCGAAACGGGGAGTTAATTACTGCACAACAAGCTGAAATTTCTCGTTTGATATCGATTGATGAACTTGGGACTGGTAGTGGAGCTAATCAGATTGGTAATTTGCAACGAGCTGGAAATACTCGTTGGGGTTCTCATTTTTCTTCAGTTTGTAGTTTGATAAAAATGTTTAGTGCAACTGGAACCGTACTACAAAACATTGTAACTGATGGAGCAAAATATTCCCAACGTGGTGATGCCGATTCTGCTTATACTACCATGACATCCTTTCAGTTTATTTTTATCCTACTTTTGATGAAAGAGATAATGGGAGTTACCGATGTTCTTTGTCAAGCTTTACAACAAAGGTCCCAAGATATATTGAATGCTATGCATTTAGTCTCAACAACAAAGCATCTGCTTCAGAAGTTGAGAGACAGTGGATGGGATACTTTTCTAAGGGATGTTAATTCATTTTGTGAAAGTAATGAAGTTGAGATGCCTGATATGAATTCTGCTTACAAAGTAGGTCGTGGAAAGTCAATTCATCAACCACGGGATACTAATATCACAATCGAACATCATTTTCATTTTGACATCTTTCTGAATACGATCGACACGCAACTAAAAGAGTTGAATTGCAGATTTAATGAACAGACGTTGGAACTCCTGACTCTTAGTTCTGCTTTAGATCCGAGTGACTCATACAAGTCATTTAAAGTAGATGATATTTGCACTCTTGTTGATAAATATTATCCTGCAGATTTAACAGAACAAGAAAGAATCCTTTTGAAGTTTCAGTTGAACCATTATCATCTGGACATGACTAAGCATGAAGACCTCTGTCATTTATCCACTCTTACAGCACTATGTGAAGGATTAACATCGACGAAAAAAGCAAGCGTATATTTCTTAGTTGATAGGTTGATTCGTCTGATTTTACTCCTTCCGGTTTCTACTGCTACGACCGAACGAGCCTTTTCTGTTATGAAGCTTACGAAAACTAGACTTCGGAACAAAATGAACGATGAGTTTCTCGGAGATTGCATGCTTCTACATATTGAGAGAGAAATTGCTGATACTTTTAGTACGGACTCAATAATAGACGAGTTTTACTCATTGAAGCACCGTAAAGCACAATTGTAATAATTGCATTATTTTTTTGAACATGTCTGTTAAAATATTTTTTGGAATGCTATATTTTACCTATCTTATATTACATACTTTTGTTATTTTATATGCTTGTGCATTTTGCTAAAAGTAATTCGCCCCCCCCTCGAAAAAGGTCCTGGATCCGCCCCTGGGTGTGTGTTTCCACAAGTTGGTCCAGCGAGACGAAAGAACACTAGTGCGTGCCGCTCATGCAGCAAAGATAGTATATCAACCAGAATATCGTTAGGCAACTGACTTATTCGATCATTATCATCCACCACAACTAAACTTCTCTTACCACACTGTCAGTCAAACAAGATAACAACCGTACGTCAGAATTGGCCACCTCTTTTATTATAGAATAACCAAACAAATCTTTGGTCTTTTACATATAAAAACGCAGAAGCAAACACCATATAACATATAAGAGAAAATTAAACGAAAAAAAAAAAGTGTAAAAGCTTATTAGTCGAAAGCTCACCTTCCTGAGTTGAAAATTGGTATGGGTTTTGACTCGCTCCCGACCCATAAGTTAGCTTTGTAGAATATCTTCGGACAGAAAACGGAGAAAAGATAAAACAGAAAACCCGAATCTTTCAGCTAGAGATGGAAGAAAAGCTAGTTGGTTCTGTTTTTCTCTTTTCTTCTTTAATTTATATATTAATACTAATTAGTATGGTAAGGCCTCGTTTGCTTTTAACTATTAGGTTAGATTGACTAAATAATAGGAGTTAATAGGACGTTTGCTTGGTAAGATTCAAAATTCTTCCAGCCCGCTATTAAAATAAAAGCCCGCTACTAGATCCTATTATCTCAAAAAATTAATCGCAGCTTCCCCCCTCTGATTAATTTAGTAGATGCTGACAAGGAAAGGAAAAGACAAAATCACCCTCAAAATATTCTACAAATTACACATCTCCTCTCGATTAAACCCTAAAAAAAATTCTGAACAATACTCGGAGAACAGGCGGAAGAAAGAAGAACAGGGGGAAGAAAAGCTTGAAGAGGCAAAACACGTATAACATTCCTATCAATTGTTGGTGAGTTTTTTAAGTAATGTTTGTTGCCACATATCTTTTTAATTGGATAGGAACTTTTTTTATTGTTTTTCGTTTTCGATTCAAAGAGCTGTTACAAACTAAATTGGATATAGACACAAGTATACATAATTAATTGAAACTAAATTTTGTGTATTTGCTTGTGTTATGTGAACGAGATAGATTAAAACTTTGGAGATTCTTCAGAATTGTAGAAAACTTTGGAGATTCTTCTCTTCTACAATAACTCTATTTGAATATTTTAGATTTGTTATTACACTGTCTCTGTACCAAATTTATGTGTGGAATACATAAGAAAGAAAGCAACAAGCTGCTAATATTACTTTTCCAATTTAATATTGTTGTTATTGTTAATATTGTAGTCAAATTGCTTCCTGCTAATTCGTGTACAGCTTTTGCTAACACAATGGACATCCGTATGAAAGTGCAAATCATGATCGTACTACACTAATATCTCTTTCGCACTACCATCTTCTTATTTTTTCTTGTATTATCCATAATCATACTTAAAGATGGTCGGACTCCAAGTAATATACGTAATAAACGAAGGAAGTATAGCATTATCGAAAAAATACCCGATCAAGTAAAAGAATTGCGGCTAGTTTTTCTTGTATTTTTTCTTGTTTTAATTTTTTATACTGAACCTTATTTTTAAATTTATATTTTTCTAGTTTTTGTTTTAAGGGAGAAATGGAGGCATCAATGAGTAACCCAGTAAATGGAGTATCAAAGGGGCGCAATGCACAAACACGCAGACACTGGACTCGTGAGGAAGAAGATGGGTTGATTGCTGAGTTGAAAGAGGTGATAGCTAGAGGCATGAAAGCAGATAATGCTTTCAAAGGTGGATACTTGCCAATGTTGGAGCGTGGATTAGCCAACCGTTTTCCTACGGCCAACATTCGTGGAGATCCTCATATCCAATCAAAATTGCAAGTATGGAAAAAGACTTATGGTTATATTTATGGGATGCTGGATACTAGCGGCTTTGGATTCAATGAAGAAACAATGATGGTTGTTTGTGACGACGATGTTTGGGACAAATATGTACAGGTGAATCTCTTTTCTATTCAATATTAACTTAATACTTTTTATTTACTCAATGTATTTTTTTTTCTATATTTGTCATCAACCTTGTCAATAATCCCTTGTGGATATTAATTATCGTATAGGTGCATCCAGAGGTTAAGAAGATGCGATACAACTCGTATCCGTATTATCCTTCGTGGCAAGAGATATTTGGAAAATCGAGAGCAACTGGTGTAAATGCACAGGGATTTACGGAAGTGGTCCAAGATTTATTGAATGATAGAACCGATGTCGGTAGAAGCAGGAATCATGGAAAATTACCACTGCCGGAAGATATTAGCATACCACTTGAAGAGGAAGAATACTGTGGTGATGCATTACCCGTTAGCCCTCCAATGTGTGGTGGTAGTGATACAAAGAGCAAAACAAGTGGCTATAAGAAACGCAAGGTTTCTGAACTTACTTCTGTGGTAGAACCCATTGTCAATATGATGAGCACATTTATTTCTGACTCAAAAGAGGCTCTTGGAGACCTTAGCAAGCGACTCGGAGTGGAGCACGATGCTTCTATGGCAAGGAAGAAAGTTTTTGACGCCCTTGCAGCCATTCCTGGCCTCTCAATGGACAATCAAATACTGGCGGCAAATAAACTTGTGAACTCCACATATAGTATGGATCTATTCTTTAGCATGCCTGATGATGCCAAGTTCAAATATGTCATGATGTTGCTTGATGGTCAGGTCTAGTAATTTCTTTTTTCTTTCTCTCATAAGATCAAGGCTTAGACCTGTTTTTTTTATTATAACTTTTGTTTGTGTGTGGATAATAATTTTGGTTGGTTTTGACAGTAATATGGCACGGTATTTTAGATAATACTTTTCTAAATATTTTTCTACTTGAATGATTGAGTTGTTGCAATACTTTAGGTGATGTTTTTTTTTTTTTTTTTTTTGTTACATCCATGTTGATATGTTGTTTTGTGAGAAGAAGAAAAATAGCCTGAGTTCTTTAAAGAAAAAAGAAGCAGCCGATAATTTTTGAGGTTGTTTTACCAATTTTAATAATTCTTGTTTATTCATTTGAACCAAACACAAGATTGGATTATTGCTAACTCAGGGGTATTATAGATAAATTACATTTTGTACCAGATATAAACAAATTTAATCCGATACTTTAATATAATAAACCAAACATTCTACTAACTAAATAATTAGTTAGTCAATAGAGATTGGAATAATTTAATCCAATCTAGGTTAATCCAATCTTTGCAAGCAAACGAGGCCTAATACTAATTAGTAATTAGTATAGGAAAAGGAAAATACGTACGTACGGGCCGGGCCGGGCCATCTTACCACTCGTTCCCAAATTTATCTATCTAATTCAAATATTAGGCCCACCTCCCATCTGTGAACTTTTGGGTAGGCAGATTAAATGGGCCGCAAAACATTTTTTTGTTTTCTGTTTTAATTTTGTATTTTTTATTATTATTATTATTATTATTATTATTATTATTATTATTATTATTATTATTATTATTATTATTATTATTATTATTATTATTATTATTATTATTATTATTATTATTATTATTATTATTATTATTATTATTATTATTATTATTATTATTATTATTATTATTAATAATTATTTCAAATATATAATACACCATAAAGTGATTTAAGTTAATAAAAAACTAATTTATAATATTTAATATATGATTTTGATTCTGAGACCTTGGAAAGTATTATATGTTTTAGCATTTTAGAAATGTAGAGAGTATGAGAGAATTTAACGAGTTTTAAAATCATTATGAATGTAAAATTGAATATGGAAATATTAGAGAACAACCCCCATGGGGCCATGATGCATTTTTTTCTAATTATAGGGAGGTTTTTGATATTAATATTTATAATACGATGAGATTTAATAATTACAGTAAACACAAGGGTTCTAAAATGCGATAAGCCAAATTTGAAGCTCATTTCAATTACTTATCTTTTTTCTTCCTTTTCTTACTTTCTTTTATTTAATAAATTATTATTGCTTTTCTATTTATGTTTATAACAACTTCTCTTAACCAAAAAAAAAAATTTAATGTCAAGGAAATATCCAATAACTAACAATTTTTAGTTTTTAAGATGGGAGATTAGCTAAAAATCCATGATCACATTATTTTTTACAAAGAACAAATCCTAATTTTGCTGCTCGTAATCCTAATATTCTATTTATTATAATATTACAAAAGAAAAAGGGAAAAATAACACCCAAACCCGGCCCGGTTAATGCGTTGTTGGATGGGCGGGCGGTTTACACTGATAACACTTGGCGAATAGCCCGAAAGTGTCGACTTGTTTGACAAAATTGATAATGCTAGCCCACCCGCCAAACCCGAACCCGACAATTAAGACCCATATAACCACGAACGTGTTTAGGGCATACATTGCTGTCCAGCTTGGCATAAAGGATGGAGGCTTCTCAACAGCATTCTGCAATTCAAATTCCCAAGTTAAATTTAACTTATATATATATGATGCCATTAAATAAATATTTAAATTCCCAAATTAAATAAGTAATGAGTGAAAAATAATTTAGGAAAGAGACAAATAATATGGGACAAATAGAGTAATAACCTGGCGAGCGGAGGCTTTCCTATAGGTGAGCATGTGGGCGACGGCCGGGATAATGTAGACGGTGAAACTGACCAATAGGGCACCGACGGCGGAATTAATCGGGCCAAAAAATGGGAAAATAATAGCGAAAAACCAAATCGGAATCACCACCGGCAATCTCGCCAATGCCCTCAAACAAACGCTCTTCGATTCGTGCATTCCGATCACCTTCTCCCACACAAAGTACAGCGGCGTACACGCAAATCCAAACGTGATAAACTGCACCATGCATGCACCCTCAAAAAATTTTATTTATTTTTTTTTGGATTAAAATTTTATTAATAATTGTAATGATGATGATGGTGATGTAGGAGAGACCTGGTGAATGAGTATAAGGATAACGGCGGCGTCACGCCAGCGGGTCTTGGGGAGGAGAGAGAAGGCGTTGGAGTGGTTGAGGAGCTGATCGCCGAACGCCCAGTAGACGACCGACGACGACGGCAACGTTAGTGTGAACACGTACACGGTGGCCCATAGGTATATGTACTTGAATTTTTGGGGTTTCCACATTGCATGCATTATTTCCCTGTAAACACATATATATATATTTTAATTTCAACCACCACTTTGTTAAAGAACAATAGTTCATGGATTCAAATTAAGAACCGAGGTCACCGCCAAAGAGAAGCCGATAATCGAGAAGAAGAAGAAGCAGCTTACACAGTGACAGCGTGGCCACCAAAAGTGTAGAGGATGTTAGTTGCGCCGGTGAAATAGAGCACCAGCTTTTTCGGACCGGTGTGTACAACATCCGGAGCCTATTTTATCAATTAATTAATAATAATTAGTATATTATTTAATTAATTAATTAATTAACACAATAATGAGTAAAATACCTGGCCATGAACAAGAGCAGCAATAGTCATATACCAGGCGGTATAAGTAGTCATACCAAGACCTAAAAAAGACCAAATTCTGTAGTTGTGGAAAGATGGGATGAAAGCAGTTGTTGCACAGCATGCTCCAAATATGTATGTCCATGTTCTCTTATCCAGTTGGTCGTTAATGTAGTATATGGTGCTGTAATAATTTAAATATTTTTAATTAATCATCAAATGATTAATTAAAAAAAAATCCTAGAGTTTTGATGAAGAAATAGAAAAAAGAAATTAACCTGGCACAGGCAATAAGTTGGATGACACAACCAAAAAGAAGGAAAGTGCAGTTGAATACCAAACCCAATGCTTTCCAATATGGCCCTAGTAATCCATCCAGCACTTCAAACCACTGTCAATTCATGATTCACATAATACATTATAAATTTTTAATTAATTTTATAATTATTTTGGTTATGTAAGAACATTATATGTTACATGTATATGTATGATGGATGGATACAAATTAATTAACCTGAATGACATGGTTAGTGAAGGTAACACCTTCTTTTTCCTTTCGACTACGGTATTCAAGGTACAAGACAGCGATAATATAAGCAGTCCAGCTTCCCATCAAGCCGTAGAATACTTGTAGTAATATTCCGGACAACATTCCCAGTTGTGAAATTGAGTATGGTAGTGTCAACAGCACTGTCGCAACCTATAATTACGATTCATGCATGATCGGAATTATAATATTAGTATAATTGGTATAATTAAAATCTCTTGTATTGTATGCAATGATGGTGGATGTATGTATGTATATATACTTGATTGGAAGCACAACTGAACCAGGCATCGTAGGCGGAGCCGCCGTTCCAGAGGGCGTCCTTGAAGCTGACAACGGCGTCCTCCTCCTTCTTGCCGCCACCGCAGCTGTTATTGTTGGTTTGGTTGAAGTTGGAGGCTGTAGCTTCCCCTGCTTGCTCCTGAGTCGACATTGTTTTCGATTTTTCACGGCCAACACCGTACCGGATCTGTCAACATACAAATAATTATGCGCGCAAAAAGCAGAAAAAATAAAACAAAAAATAAAAAATAATTTGGATAGCACGTACTTTCTGAAATATATATGTATACCTTAGTGTACGTTTGGATGAGTCTTTTTCTTGAACCGAGATCGACCGATCGATCGATCTCAAATAATTTGAAGCACAAAAAGCAAGCCCTAGCTCGGTGTTTTTAGTTTTATCAAATAAGAATGAAAAATAATAGAATAAAGGGATTTAATATAATGTAGCTTTTATAGTAAGTAGGAAGAATTAAGAAACTAAATGCACTTATGTGAATTTTTTCTGCGGGGGCGATATGGTCTCAAAGAGAGAGTAGTGAGAGATTAGCAAAAGGGCCGGGCCGGGCCGGGGAAAGATGAGTTTCTGCAACTATTAAAGCTGCTGATATATATATAAACATTCACAATGAATTTTGGTATGGAAGAGTGAGTGTATTACTTATGTGTGTGTATATATATAATATATATGAAAACTTTGTTATTCTATTTTATTTATTTAATTAATTCAGAGTTGATGTATTTTACCGTTTCCCATGCACGTATGATTCGATTCTTGGTCTTGTTTGAGTAAAGTGAGGATCGAGAGATTTGTGGGTTCTGATCATTTCTTACTTATTCCATGTTTGGCTCTAACTTTACATTTATGTTTCAAAAATTGAAAAGGTCAAAACATGATAATTAAATCAATAATCATCAACTTGTTACATAGCCATTAAATAATTTGTCCTTGTGAGAAATTGAAATCCAAACTTTTGAAATTCGAATATGAAAAATATTTTTCGAATATCGGAGTTGGAATAGGAGTCGGCGGAATTCAATTTTTTTTGGTTTCAATTTCCACATTTATGAAGAACAAATGGGGTTGTTTGGTTGTCGTTATTTATATATACTTATTTTAGAATTAGATGATTTTATCCTTGATTCATTGTTTAAATGTGATCAAATTCAATACATACTTTAAATATTTTCTCCCATTCTTAAGCTACCGGAAATTAATAGCAAACAATAAATAACTTGAATTAATTGCAGCATAGAAGTAGTCAAGTAGGTACTTTTCCTGAATCTGCAACTATGATCAAAAGAAAACATTTTTTTCTTTTAAGGAATTTTTTTTTTTTTTTTTAATTCTTATTTAAATAATTAAAAAATAGTGCATGCGTGATGACATTGATATCTCTCGTTGCTTTATAATAATACAGCTAAGAATTAAAAATTACCTTTTTTGCTCTACTACCTTCCCACAAGCACGCGCCCACGCGCTCAGTCAGACACACAAATGAAAAATAAATAAATATTACTATGCAAGATTATAGAAAACGACCAAAAATGAGTGGAAAAAATAAATAAATTAAAAGAAATAAATATTACTATGTAGAGGCCCCATGCAAGAAAATGCACAAAAACAAACAAACGTGTGGAATGTGTTTATGTGTGTTTTAAAAGTCTTCGTCTTCGGCAACTAATTGCAGTCAAATAAACAAATCAACTCTATCATGCAATATATTATCATTGTTTTCACTCTTATCAAATTCAATTAATCTTTGAATTTTTTTTAAAAAAAAAAATTCATTAAGAGGATGTTCGATTCTCCGAAATTCGCCCCTTCGAAATTAAACGTATTTTCCACCATAACTTATTCTTTGATCGTCTTCGTAATAGTAGTTTTCTCCTACGGTGTCATATCCAACGTCACACTCCACTTTCAACAACACGCTTTCGATCACGGAGGAATATTCCATCCGAATCAGCTGCTTCAGACTCACCACACATCAGAAGAGATTATTAGATTAAGAACAAGTGACGATGCAAAGCTTGTTGTTGATCACCCCAAAAGCAAGCTCAACCCCGAAGAATTCGATTTCTTCGTCACATCCGTTAATTCTTCTAGAAGATTCGATTCAAGTGTTAGAGAGTTTTTCGAGAGCAGTTGCAAAGTTCGGATCTTTATGACATGGATTTCGCCCGTGGAATTTTTCACCGAAAGGGAGTTTTTCGGATTGGAGAGCTTATTTCAGACGAACCCCACAAGCTGTTTGATCATCTTGTCTAAAACTATGGATTCGGAAAAGGGCCGGAAGCTTCTAGAACCTTTGACCGGTCTCGGTTTTCGTGTTCGTGCAATAGCTCCCGATTTGTGGGGTTTAGTCAAGAACACCCCTGCCGAGAGTTGGTTCGATGAAATCAAGAATGGTACTAAAGAAACAGGGAAAATTCCCCTGCCTCAAAACTTGTCCAATTTGATTAGGCTTGCTGCTTTATATAAATACGGAGGTGTTTATTTGGACACCGATTTTATAATCTTGAAAGATTTTTCGGGTTTGAGGAATTCGATTGGAGCGCAGAGCGTCGATTTGAGTGGAAATTGGACAAGATTGAACAATGCGTTTCTTGTTTTCGACAAGAAACACCCTCTCGTTTTCAAATTCATCGAGGAGTTTGCTTCGACTTTTGATGGGAATAAATGGGGTCATAATGGTCCATATTTAGTCTCTAGAGTTGTTAATAGAGTGAAGAAAACAGATGAGTTTGACTTTACGATCTTGCCCCCGATGGCTTTCTATCCGGTGGATTGGACACGGGTCGCGGGTTTTTTCGGACGGCCTAACGACCCGGTGAGTACGAAATGGGTCGAGGCAAAGATCCGGCAACTAAACGGGTCGTCTTATGGGGTCCATCTGTGGAATAGCCAAAGTAGCAGATTAAAGATTGAACAAGGAAGCATTATAGATAGGTTGATTTATAGTCACTGTGTTATATGCAATAGGCAAATTTCTTCAAGTTCTTGATTAGAAAAACCCAAAATCAGTGCCTTTTGTAAAGCTTTAATTTTAAAATACATTCCCTCTATTTTATTTTTGTAAAAATGTATATCCAAACATTCTTTCCTTTTTTCTTACTTCTAATTTCCCATATTATATAACTTAAATGCTAAATCCCACACTATTTTTACCGAATCATGGACATAACTAAAAATATTTTTCTCTCTAGAATCTTCTATTCTCCTTCCCCACCTTTTTTCATTTTCCCTAACCTTTTCACAAAATCACACACTAAAAACATACTTAGCATTCCAAGTTCAAATTTGACAAAAAACTTCACATTTTCAAACTACAACAAAGTTCAAATTTGAGGAAAAAATTCAAATTTATATGAATTCGAATAATTAATGAAATTGAATAAATATTAAATAAAGCGGAACTCATTTTTTTATGATTATTCACGTAAAAATTAACAAATTTTGAGTGACTTGGATAAAATTATTTTAGAGAGAAGTTAGAGAAAATTTGAGTGAGAGAGAGAGAATTTTTTTTAATTCATGTGTGGGATTTAGTACGTCCCATTATATAAATGCTTCTCAATAAAACCCATTATATAAATGCTTCTCAATAAAACGAATCCGAAAATAATTATTATAAATAATAAAAAAACAAAACTAAAAAAAAAAAAAAAAAGTGGTTCTGGGGCCCACTCAACCTGCATCCCAAAAGTTTTCAGGTGGGTCTAAATAGGAGATATGGGCCTAAAATTTGAGTGACACGTATCGATTTGGGAAGGGGACGGAAGATGGGCCACAGCCCGGCCCAAAAGTTTTTTTTTTCCATTATATATTACTTATATATTATATATATCAAAAAAAATTAAAAAATACAGAACTTGCTTTTCTTCCAAGTCTAGCTTATATGTAGTTGGTGACTGCCGGAGAACTTCTTTGCTACCTTCTCCGTTTACTATCCGTCGATTTTCTCCGATGAGACTCCATTCCTTTTGTCTTTAATCTAATGTTTGAATTCATTGGATTCCAATCCGAAATTTGAGTAAACATTAATAATGCAATTGTTGTTTTCAAGTTCATTAATGAATTTGCTTTGACTTTTAATGGGGAATAATGCAAGGTCATTACGGTCCATATATACTTAAGACTCTACAGTTGTTAAAGAGTTGTCGAAAACAGAGGGGTTCGACTTTACAATTTTGCCCCTGATGGCTTAACCACCCGGCCGGTGGCAGCTAAACGGGTCGTATTATGGGGTCCACTTGTGGAATAGCCAAAATAGCATAATCAAGATTGAACAAGGAAGCAATATAGGCAAATTTCTCTCAATAAAATGAATCTGATACACAAGTTTTTATGCACTGAACTTTGTGATTGTATTTCACAATTTTCTAGTACTCAACCTTAGCCTAAATTTAAATTTGAATATCCTCCTACATATCAAAAAACTAAATCTTGGTAAACTCTTGTACGACTTTGTTCGGATCAACTTTCGACCGCGCGATTTTAGCCTTATCTCCCTCTTGATAAAATCTTCATCGTTCGAACATGCAACTACTACTTCATTCTTCTTGAATTCTGCCCACGGATCGTCGTGAATACTATCGTCGTCACTGGCCCACAAGAGAATAGGCTTAACGAGAGGCGAAAGGCTATAATTATTAAAATAATTAGCCAAACTAGTGTGCTCCATATCGAATAATCTTCTCAACGAAGTGCTCCCTCCTTTCATCAGCTCTATTAAACTACTACTGCTTTTCGTCGGAGAAGTGCGCGAAGAAGAAAACGAAGAAGAGGAAGAATGGTAAAGGGTCTTTTGGTAATTTAAAATTTGCCTTATTCTTTCTCCTTGTTTGTCTCCCATGCAAGAATTTTTCTCATCTGCAATTTGTAATGCCATTTCTGCTTCAAAAAATAATCTAAGTGTTGGCCATTTTTGGGAAGAAAAGAAAGTTATAATGAATATATCACAAGTGAAATGATGAAGCCGGCAATATATATAGATATAGTTTGATGTCAAGTTGTTTGAAGAGACTAATTAATTAATTAATTAGTTTTAACCTTTAAGTAGATGTGGAAACTAATCTAATGTTTAATTTTTTTATGGATATTTTTTATAGTTGGAATTGTTTATTTTCTTGGCATGCCTATCATGATTAGTCAGAATTTAAATAAATTGATGTATGATTAATGGGATATGGATCTTGATCTCTTAATTATTAATTAGAGTATTTGACTTCATCAAATGTCACTAATTAAGAGAGTTTTCATGCTTGCCCAGAAAGCAATGTTGGGTAATTTACGGTCACCTCCTAAAATAAGTTAAATTACGAAAAAGCCCTAATATTTGGGTAATTACAATCACCCCCTTAACTATGAATTTTCTTACAAGTTCACTCTTGCGGTGTCAAATTTAGTGGAATCTTTTAAATTATGCCGAATATTCTCCAGTTTGTACCCGTGTTATCGTATTCGAGCTCCACATTTTAAAACAAGATGATCATAATATGTGTCTCTTATCTTGTTAATATTAGATTGTGGTGCATTAGAAACTGCATTTTTGCACAAAACGAGTACAAACTATAGAACATCCAACAAAATCTAGAAGATCTTTTTGTATTTGACACCATAAGGGTGAACGTGTAAGAAGATTCATAGTTTGAAGGGTGGTTGTAATTATTACACAAATATGAGGGGAATTTTTGTAATTTGACATTACTTTATGGGTGAGTCCGTAATTTATTCAAGCAACGTCTCGGCATCATTTCCTATGCTTAAATTCATCTAATAATTTTCCAGGTCAGCTTGAAAAGAAATGAGATTTTTATTTTACATTATTGATTAATTGTTAATTTAATTATGACAAGCAAACAAACTAGACATAATAATATAAAATAATAATAGAACACGACCATTCTAACTTCAGAGAACAATATACTAAATAAGAAGCAGATCAGTCACAGCTATTTTTTGTCAATAGATAATTCAAATTGCTTTTTTAAATTATTTGATCAATTCTATTGCACCGACTTTAGATAAACTATTTGCAATAAATAATTAGAGTTTTGTCCTTTTTGCCCTTTCCCGTGATAATATAAACTGCTGGTGGAGCCTTCTGTAATTGGACAATAACAACAAATAATTTCATGGCATTACTATCGGAGGTTCTTCGATCTCGATTTATTTATTTATTGTGTGGAATTAAAATATAAATAAACCAGTCATTAAAATAAAGTATATACTTATGGTAATGCATTACTGCATTAGTGCTTAGTTCAACAATTAATGTCACAAATCCCTAGGTTTGGCAGACATTTACACTAAAACCTCGATAAATTAACAACCTCGATTTAATAATAGTTCACTCGGTTCCGATTCGATGAAAATGTGTTAAATTATTAAACCGATAATTTAATAATTTGCTAAATTAATAGAATTTCCCTAGTCTCGACTGTATTAATTATAGAGGTTTAACTGTATTTTACTAGTACTTCCATGTAGTATAGAATTATTACAAGCACGAATTAAATAAGTTTTATTCATATTTATAAAAGAAAAATATAAAATAAATTAAATGAGTCTGTAATGAAATGACCAGGTCCAGTGGACTAAATGAATGTAGGCTCATTGAATCTATAAAATCACAAGAGGCCCAAATTTGAGCTGGGACACAATTTAAAAAAAAATAGAAAAAATAAAATAAAATAAATTTTGGGATTGGAAGAGCTTATTTGATTATCAATTTTGATAACCTTTAAAGGGCCCACTGGACCGAATAAATAAATGAAGCCCAAAAGTAACTACCAGATACAATTTTTTTTCTTCATTTTAATCAAATACATTATTGCGTCAATTTCGAAAATTGTAATGAAATATTTAAATAAAGTTTTAAAAAAAAAAAATCTCCTGGGGGGAATATGGCAAATAGAAAAAGTACAGGGGAAGAAAAGTTCAAACAAAATTTCACGTACTTCATTTTTTTTATTTAGTCAAATGAAAGATCTATTACATTAATGTTCATATCAACAACAAGTATTAAATTAATATTTCCTCTGAATTCTTGATGACCGTTGATAATTTTAAAAGTTGAAAAACTTTAATTGTCAACCCAAAGGGAATATTAGGATACATGATTTTACAATATATAAAAATTGTAATTAATTAATAATAGTTAAATTAAATGAATATATATAGCAAATAGGTGATGATGAATGATGAGTGTGATCTCAACCTTGCTCACACTTGAATCAACATTAGATTTCGTGACACGATTTTGGATCTAATTTTCAGTAACATGCATTTCGTTTTAAAACCGAGGTTGGCACATGCACTAATTCATTTAATTATATTTTATTATATAATTAATAACTATTTTCAATATAATCATGCTGTGTTCATATTACAATTTCCCAACTTTCTTCTTTTCTTTATTCCCATTATCTTTGAACCTAGTGATTTTTTAAATATTCAATTTCAATTTATTTTTTAGTAAATTACTTTCTTTCTTACGCAAGAAATCTGTAAAATCTTGGCCGGTAATAGAAATTAATAAATTAATAAATATTTACCTTAATATGGGAGTTACCGTTGACCATTCCATACTTGTATTTTCTACCTTTCGAAATGGTAGTTGCCAGTTGGGAAGTTATTACCTAAATAATAACTGATTTCTCACTGCAAGTCAACACAAGTACGATGTCCACAGTCGCCAACTTTAACAGCAATCTTTTATTTAATTATCTCAGAATAAAAAATAAAAAATAAATTAATTAAATTGCAGCGCTGAATACGTCTAATTGAGGAACGTAAGAAACAAAACTGCTGCTCTATTACAAGTCAACCACTCTACAATATTTCAAATCTCAAATAAAAAAAATATTTAATATTGTATATTAATGAAATCTTTATTAATTTTTTTTATATTGAGTATATAGAGAAACAATAATAATAATATTAAATAGGGAGACAAGAAATAGGTTCATGCATGTTCGGAGTTGTCACACGCACGAGAGAGGGCTCATAAATTTATATCACCCATCTTTAGAGGAGAGCAATTGGTGGCACGTGCCAACTAAAGAAGCAAACGTGCAAACCCATGTGATTGGGTCGGGGGCCCACGACCCATTTCTCCCACAAGAGAATCTTTTTTCTTTTTTATCAAAATAGTCAATTAATAAATGGCTCCAAGATCAAAGCCCACAAGAAATATTCCACGTAATAATGACTTCCCAATTTGCATATTAAAATAATAAATTACAAGATACACAAATCTAATATTCTATATATATCCAAACAAATAATAAAAAGAAAACTATTTTATATTGACTTTAATTTAATTTAACCTATTGATTAATTTAACAAAACAGAGGGATTATCATTTATCACAACTCAACACACTACCTTTAACTATTAATAGTTTAATTTGAATATAATACTAAAAAAAACACACATACACACACACTAAATCCCCATTTATATTACAAAAAGGGCAAAATAGGAGAGAGAAAAAAAAATTAATTAGTGAACTTGTTTTTTCTTCTCTTGCAAAGGGGGGGAAGACCCGGTTGGTGACCCGGATCGGGATCCGGATCCAGATTAATGGTGTTGTGGTGGTAGCGCGGTTGGATGGGCGGGCGGTTTACACTGATAACACTTGGCGAATAACCCGAAAGTGTCGACTTGTCTCACGAAATTGGTGACGCTAGCCCACCCGCCAAACCCGAACCCGACCACAAATACCCATATAACAATGAAGGTGTTTAGTGCATACATGGCTGTCCAGCTCGGCATAAAGAATGGAGGCTTCTCAGCAGCATTCTGATATTGAATCAATTATATAATTATTCAATTCAATTAATTAATTAATCCCAATTTAATTTGAAAGTAAAATTCCGATATTAATAAAAAGAATAAATAAATAAGTGATTTATTGAGGTGGGTGAAGACTAGAGAGGGCAACTAGGTAGAAGCCAGCTCATACAGTATTGATAGTGTTTGCATGGAAAAATAATTTGAAAATGACTTTCCACCTATACCTTCTACACTAGGCAAAATTTTCAATTTAATTCCATTTTATTTATTTGATAGTATTTTCCTTTTTTTAATTTCAAATTTTATTATTTTTATAAATAAATTGAGTCACAATAATAATAAATAATTACCTGACGGGCGGAGGCTTTCCGATAGGTGAGCATGTGGGCGAGGGCAGGGATAATGTAGACGGTGAAACTGACCAATAGGGCGCCAACGGCGGAATTAATCGGGCCGAAAAATGGGAAAATAATAGCCAAAAACCAAATCGGAATCACCACCGGCAATCTCGCCAATGCCCTCAAACACATGCTTCTCGTGTCGTGCATTCCGATCACCTTCTCCCACACAAAGTACAGCGGCGTACACGCAAATCCGAACGTAATAAACTGCATTTCAATTTTTTTTTAATAATATGATAAAAAATAAAGTTTCGAAATTTGTGATTTTTGTTAATTTGGGGGATGTTAATTGACCTGGTGAATAAGCATAAGGATAACGGCGGCATCACGCCAGGCGGTCTTGGGAAGGAGAGAGAAAGCGTTGGAGTGGTTGAGGAGCTGATCGCCGAACGCCCAATAGACGGCGGAGGCTGACGGAATCGTTAGGGTGAATACGTAAAGTGTGGCCAGTAAATATATGTATTTGAATTTTTGTGGTTTCCACATTGCGTGCATTACTTCACTGTAAAAAAAAAAAAATAACCAACAGTTAAATAAAAAAAGGTTAATCAGAATTGAGATAATGTTATAGATAGGGGATAATAAATAAAAGTAGTGTGGGCAGTAATTAAAGAGAAAAATAAATAAGAAAAAGACAAGAATCAGAGTAGTGTTACAGTATTGGGCAATAATTGTTTTGATTTGATGGGAGCTTAGAGTTGTTGTACATGTTAGCCTTCAAGTACAATCTAACAAAGCATATATTCTTTTAATTATTTTTTTAAAAAGAATAAAAGTAAAGTAAATCGAGATCAAGTAGTGGCAGTAAATGGAATTTTAATTTGGCACTGTATGATCTTTTAATCTATCTACCGAACTAAAGAAAAAAGTGGAGTTCCGATCCTATAATTCTGTCTGTTATCACAAGAACCGAGATCACCGGCAAAAAGCTGCAAACAGAAGCTAAGAAAATAATAAAAAAAATTAAAAAACTTACACAGTGACAGCGTGGCCACCAAAAGTGTAGAGGATGTTAGTTGCGCCGGTGAAGTATAGCACCAGCTTTTTCGGACCGGTGTGTACAACATCCGGAGCCTGTTTAATTTATTCATTAATTAATAATTTATTTAATTAACACAATAATAATTAGTAATGAATGAGATTAATTAAGTAAATAAAATACCTGGCCATGAACAAGGGCAGCAATAGTCATATACCAGGCGGTATAAGTAGTCATACCAAGACCTAAAAAGGACCAAATTCTGTAGTTGTGGAAAGATGGTATGAACACAGTTGTTGCACAACATGCTCCAAATATGTATGTCCATGTTCTTTTATCCAGGTGGTCGTTTATGTAGTATATGTTGCTGTAATTATAAATTAAATTAATTTATTCATCAAATATATAATTAATTCAAAAAAAAATGTTATAATTTGAAGAAGTAAATAGAAAAAAAGAAAACCTGGCACAGGCGATAAGTTGGATGACAGAACCAAAAAGAAGGAAAGTGCAGTTAAATGCCAAACCCAATGCTTTCCAGTATGGTCCAAGCAATCCATCCAGCACTTCAAACCACTGCCAATTCATTCACGTACATAATTATTATTTAAATTATTTTGGTTATGTAAGAACATATATACGTGTATGTATGATGGATACAAACCTGAATGACATGGTTTTTGAAGCTAACGCCTTCTTTTTCTTTACGGCAACGATATTCCATGTAGAGAACACTGATAAGATAAGCAGTCCAGCTTCCGATCAAGCCGTAGAATACTTGAAACACTATTCCCGACAGCATTCCCAGTTGGGAGAACGAGTATGGTAGTGTCAGTAGCACTTGTGCAACCTATTACGGTACAAACAAACAAACAATTGTATTGTAAGAAATCATTTTTTTTTTTTGGTGAAGAGAGAGATCGAGAGAGAGAGGGAATAATTGTGTAGTGTACGTACTTGATTGGAAGCGCAGCTGAACCAGGCATCGTAGGCGGAGCCGCCGTGCCAGAGCATGTCCTTGAAGCTGACGACGGCGTGATCGTCGGAGTTGTCCTCCGCCTCCTTGCCACCGCCGTCATGGTCGGTTTCGTTGAAGTTGGAGACAATAGCTTCCTCTGCTTGCTTATGAGTCGACATTGTCTTCGATTTTCACACACAACAGATCTGTCAACATATACATACAAATAAGAAAATAAAGACAGAGAATGAGACAAAACAAACACGCCCCCTTCTTCCAAGAAAAACAATTCCTCAGATCCAAACCCATCGCTAACAAAAATAATAAATAATAAATAATAAATAAATCAAAACTTTCACTTTCTGAAATATACTACCTTAGTTATTTTGACGAGTGTTTTTCTTCAACCCGGATCGATCTCCGATCAATTGAAAAAGAGAATACAACAAGCAGACACTCGGCTGTTTTAGTTTGAAAATACTTAAGAGAGAAAGCACAAAAAGGAGCGGTTTATTTCAAGGTTTCATTGTTCAAAGAATGGATTTTTAATTTTTAATTAATGCAGCCCAGAAATATATTATTGCAGTCGGCGTACGTAGAGCTTTAATTTATAGTGGTAAGCAAAAAATTCGGAAACTAAATGCAGTTGTGTGAAATTTTCTGCAGCGGCGGAAGGCGGCGGCGATGGCCTCAAAAGCAGAGAAGATGAGAGAGAGAGAGAGGATTTTGGTAGTGAGAGAAAGTAGTGAGCGAGTAAACAAAAGGGGAAAGATGACTTTCTGCCACTATTAATAATAAAGCAGCAGCTTATATATGTATATATAAACATTTATAAATTATAATTAAGTTCTGGTGGGGAAGTGTGTAATTAATTACACAGTATTGCTTTTGCGTTTTACTTTTTCCTATTTTATTTTATTTCATTAATTAGTCCATGTTTTTGTATTTTTTAATTAAATTAAAATCAATAATTTATTTTCATCTTTCTTTACTGTTCCCCACTTGTGATTCGATTCTTGGTCTCCCTTCCGTAAAGTCATAATCCGGAGATCTTGGTTTCTTACTTCTTACTCAGTAGTAGGTATTCTTTTTGATGTGATATATATATAAATTAGTCATTTGTGAAAAAAATAGGTGCATGCTTTGATTATGATTGAATTTGAGAAATGATTATTGAGTTATTTGAGTTGTCGTAAATGTTGGGGGGCAATACTTATTGTTTCTGAAAAAAATCTGACATTTAACAGTTGCATTTCAACTATTATGTCAACTGGCAAAATTATGCTTTTTCTCAAATATTAAAAATAAAATAGCAATTGACATTTTCTCGTGGTTGACCGTAATTTGCCCCGGTGAAATGTTATTTTTTTTTCCAATTTATGGAATTTGAAATAATTCAACTCTCACACAATTACAAAAAAAAAAAAAAAAAAAAAAAAAAAGATGAGCATGAGATAATAATTTTATAAATACAAAAAAATTTAAAAAGAAATAAAAAACAATAAAATTGAATAGGAATAAAATGAAATAAACAATTGTGGTAGACGTGAAAGAATGTAATAATGAAATGTAGGCCTTCCAACCAAACAAAATGTATTTAGTTTCACTTTTAGTTCCCATTATATCATTTTTTAAACTAATTCTTCTTCTTTTTCCAATGTTTTCCAGCTCTCAGCTTTCAAATATATTATTATTTTGAGTTTAAATTAATAGTAGATTAAATATTGATTTATTTTTGCTTTTTGAACTTTAACAATTATATATATGTTCTCTAGTTGTTTATTTAAATTAATAATAAAAGTGGGTCAAGCCGTAAAAGTGGTTCTAAGCCTGTAGCCGAATGCAAAAGAGAGCCACGCGCACAATGAAGGCCCAGGCCCACTTCACCGCCGGGTCACAATTTATAAACGTTTTCTTTACGGCTCGTTATGGCCCTGTTAACGGCGCTATGTTCCCGTCTCTAAATTAATAAAATACTTGGAGAGAATTACGAAAATGCCCATTTCATCAGACATTGAGCAAATTGCACTTCGCCCCCACAAAAAATACATTTTTTTGCACTTTACCCCCTAAAAATATAATAATGAGATTGTCCCCCTTTGAAATATACAACTCGGAGCACTTCGCCCCAATTTTTCGCCCCAAATGTATATTTCTGATTTAATTCTCGTTGGATTATGCATCTGTCATTTTACTTTTTTCGCTTTTATAATCTCGTTTCATAGTTACTTAAGATTACCAAATTAACAAAAGAAAAATCTTCCCAAATTGATGAAATTCTCTTTTAAATTAGATGAAATTCTCTTCCAAGTTCGACAAAATTTGTTCTTTGTTCTTCATAATCATGATAATATGGGGTGGGAAAAAGGTCAAATGATATTTATAGCATTAAAGGACGAAATCACCCTTCCAATTTAGTGAAACCCGACAATAATTAGATCTGAGTAAAGTGCATTGAGTTGTGTATTTCGAAGGGGACAGTCTAATTTTTATACTTTTAGGGGTAAAGTGCAAAAAAGGTATTTTTGAGTGGGCAAAGTGCAATTTGTCCGACATATTTTGTTCAATTATAATCATGATATAAAAATAAATATTGAATAAAAAAAGACAAATATTCTAGCAAAAAATATTTAGGCAATAATCACACTTCTTTAGATTTAATTAGGGAGCTTAAGTTAAATATATATTACGGCATCACTGATATGCGAGGCGACTAAATTATGACGTCACTAATGCGAGAGGCCAATTAATATATCAGAGGATGACGATAACAGTACACCACCCCCACCGGCAAAATGTGGTGGAGATAGTGGCGGCTGCCGGCGCCACCATGGAGTCACCATGTGTTGTGAATGGGTAACATATATTCAGGAATTTTTGGACTGCAAAATCAAAATATTGGCCATGTCACGGAAGAAAAATATTACAAAAATTGCCACGTGTCCCCGTTCAAACGGGATTTGTCTTCTCGGATTCCTCGCTTGCCCCCGCCACCTTCCACGGTGGAGGCTCCACCTCCCACCACTCTCCGTTTATTTCTCATTTTCACAAATATTAAAAATCCCTATATACCGCACGTACGTATAAATTGTCTTAACCTTATTTTGTTTTTTTTATTCAATATTCAGTCAAGTAAAGATTGTTATTAAAAATCTTAGATTTAAATTAATAAAATGAATTAATTAATTATTAATTAATTATTGCATGTCTTTATTTTCTCTGTTAATTATCCATATATCTTTATTTGATAGTGAGTCCACTGAGTTAATTTTGACTCGTAAGCGGGGTGCACAAAATGGTGTAAGCAAATTAAAAAAAAAAAAAAAAAGATACCTTTAAATTATCTTGAAATTGGATATTTGAATGGGGGATTAGTGGGGGAAACAATGATTAATAAAATTGATTTTTAAGGCACGAGTTGTGTTATCTATTTCCCAAGTGGTGTTTCCGCAGTTGCTTCTCAAATGGGGTCCCCTTTAATTACATCTTGTACCCCTAACTCTTCAATTAAAAAAAGAAAATCACTTTCTGAAATTTTAATAATATATTTATGTATGTTGATTTAATTTTGAAATAAAAATGTATAACTGGGCTAGTTTAGATAATAATGTAAAAGAAAATATTCAATTCTTCCCATACTCTATACCATGCAAGCTTTTATCACTTTTTGACAACTTTTTTAATAGTGGATTTATTAGTTAGAACATTGCAATTGTGACTTATCTTCTAGTATTGTATTCCCTCTGTTTCTAGTTAAGCGTCGTTTTTATTCTTTGTAAAATATTAAGAATGTCAATAAATGTGTCTTATTTTAGAAAAACACATTAAAAATATTGAAATAATCTTGATCGTTAAATGTTGTAATAAGAGAGAGTTAATATTTATAATTGAATCAATAAGGTTAAAACAGGAAGAAAAAAATGCATTGAAGTATTGAAAATTTAAAGTGACAGATAATATGAAATAAAAATATTTAAAGAAAAAAGATATTTATCGTAGAATATATGAAGTTACTTAGCTACTAATCAATGTGATCAAATTTTAAAAAAGTTAATTACAAAATTTATATATTCCACATATATATTATGTGATAGTAATATTATAATTGTGTGGTCTTATTCATTTTTCCTTTTTAATCTACCTAATTCAACTCAAATATACACTCATAATAGAAATGAAAATGACTGTCACATTGGATGGATTATGGGGATGGCACTTTAATTTGATTGTGGAGGTCACTCATTAGTCAATACATAATGTGGAAATTTACCAACTTTCTTATGACTAAGATTCATTTCATGCTTATAATCACTTAGCCAATTATTCGGCCACTATATCATTATTGAAGCATCCTATGAAATAGATACGACGTAACTATACTGTTTAAAGTTTATAAGCCGAGCTTATAAGCTGTTAAAAAGAGATTATGAGATGTTTAATAATTTATAACTTCTCTTTATAGCACTGCGCATGCTCAACCTTTTGAAGTTATAATACTTGTTTAATGTTTTGTCTTCTAAATATTTCAAATAAATTTCTTCATCAAATATTTATATATCTTTCGGAATAAATACTTGTTACAACCCTATAACTTTTGAATTCCACTTATTGTGTGTCTTCGTTTTTCTATTACATGTTAAAAAAAACTTATGCTAGTTCATGTAATCATGAAATTTAATGATTAAATGTGCAAAAAAAATGCTCTTTTTTATGGGGATTGCTTTTTGCAGCAACGTGCACAATTAAGTCACGGAATCTTTTTACATATATAATAAATAATTATGTATCTAAGTTGGATTTTGATTTAAGAGGGATTTCTTTACTATAAAAAAGAAAAAAGATAAAGAAAAAGAAGTTTTGGCGAAAAGACGGAAAACACCTTTTTGTAGCACCTATGAAATATGTGCTTTCTTCTCTATATATGCTAAAACAAATGCCTATGTTGATATATACTTTATTTGTATCTGAATTTCACTCTTAAGAGTGCCCATTTTCAGACAATTTTGCCGAAAACGTCAAATTAAATTAATGGATGTAGCTAAAGTTAGGAGTTGAAAAGAAATAAATAATAAAGAAAAAGGAGATTAGGCTAATGGGAATTGGATTACTTTCGGCCCTTTTTGTGTTTTAAGGTAAAAGGTTCAATTTATGGTGGAGAATTAGTATTATTTTTTCAAATAATATTTTACTTTGAAGGTGTCTTGATAGAGGAAAATGATTTTCTTGAAATTCAAATTGTCAATAAAAAAAATAATAAAAATGGCGTCTTTAATGTGTTGAAACTTGAAAGCAACTCTTTTGTGACAATAATTATTCTCATTATAATCCAACCCTAGAGCATCCTATGCCTTTTAAGTTTTAATCATTGATCAAATTAAACCGGTTAAACTAATATAATTATTAATTAATAACAAAATATATATATACATATATATATATAATGTTGTATCACTCACCTTGGATGGATTAAA